CCTGTTCACAGAAGGAGACCGCCGCCTCCCCCATCACAACACCCTTCTCTTGCGCCCTCAACGCGCGTTACCTTGGAGAGGGGGTGGCGATGTCTGGCAATAGCGGGGAACTTCCGCCAGGTTCGACTTCGCCGGTCTCTTGACCGTCGAGACTGTATATGTCGACCCTTTGGAAGACCCTTTGTTATGGCAAGGTACTTAGCTATTGAGGACGAGAGAAATGAGTTTCTAAAACTCTGGAGTTGTAAATCGAACTTTATCTCGTCAGGATATTTTTTACTCGACACTCATGTTAACAATAACCAAAAATCCTAATCTCAAAAACAGCCTCTTTCCCACGTCCGTGCCATAAATCGTTGCGCTCAACAGTTGTCAGAGCATCGCCGATAAGGAAATGGCCTGGAGTTAAGGGTGTGAGGTCTATTGGGTCATGGGAAAGGGGTTGGAGTGGTCGGGAATTTAAGCATGCCTCAATTTGTATTAAAATAGTGTAAAATTAATCAAACGTCAAGCATTGTTCACCAGTGACCCTTTTTAGGTGTGTTTTTACGGACTTCACTGCACTCTCCCAAAGTCCTCTGAAGTGTGGTGCGTGTGGTGGGATCAAATGCCATTCTATCTGTTCTTGTGCTAAGTATGTTCGAACCTTATCATTGTGGTCTTTATCCCTTAACAAGGCACCAAGCTGATTTAGCTCGTTCCTTGCTCCTACGAAATTCGTACCATTGTCTGAATAAGTAGAATGACATTTTCCCCTGCGTGATGTGAATCAGTACAGACAATTCAAAAATGCGTCGCTGCTAAGATCGATTGCCAGTCCGATGTGTATAGTCTTGGTCGAAAAACAAACAAACAGACAAATATAAGTCTTATGGGCAAACTTTCCGCGTCCCCTTTCCTTTATTAGAAAGGGATCTGCGTAATCCACGCCGCAGGTAAATAGTAAAGGCGCGTGCCGCTGTAACCCGGGCAGCGGGTAAGTTTCCCATAAGATAATTTGAATCCGTAGGCTTTGTTCGGAAACATTGTACATATCTATAAAGAATTTTTTTGACTAGATGTTTACCACCAAGCGTCCAAAAACGGGTGCGTAACGATGCAAGTGTTGTTTGGCAACCGGCATGAAGGAATCTGCGTAACGGTAAACCTATGATCCGCGGGTAACAATACCGGGTGACGATGATCATAAGGTATCGGAGCATTCCTTAGTCTTCCGCCCACCCTGATCAACAAGTCTGATCAACAAGTAATGGAATAGGAACTCTCGTAAAACGTTGGAAAAAGTGTATAGAATCTAATGGAAATCATTTCGATTAAATGAATTCATTCTAAGTAAAACTACACGTCTTTAAATCTTATGCACAGAAACTGCAATTTATTTCCGGACAACCTAATAGATGATGTGAACAAAAAATTTTGAAAAAATTGCAGTTTGTGGGAATCGCGAAGAAAATTGTAAAGGTAACGTTTTATAACTTTTATTATCTGAGCTCGTAATGAAAATTTAAAAAATAAGTTTTGCAGCTCTACGTCAATTACACACACGCTGAAAATTTCATCGAAATCGGTGGATGGAGAAACAAGTGACAGGCATCGAAAGATGTAAGAATCTTCAGATTTATTAGTTATAGGCGTGAAATAGTGCGATTTTCACAATCTTGAACTGTTTGTAGCTCATAATAACATTAACCGATTTCGATGAAATTTTCAGTACGTATATAATTCACATATATCTACAAAACGTATGTTTTCAAATTTTCATCACAAGCCTAGATAAAAAAGTTGTAAACAGTGACCTTTACAATTTTCTCCGCGATTCCCACAAACTGCAATCTTTTCAAAATTTTTTGTACCCGTCATCTAGTAAACTAATCTTTCTAACTTCTCAAAAAAACTCAAGTCGTTTGGCCCAATTTTTTAAAAAAGTTATTCCGTTTTATAAGGTGTCCAAATACTTATGGACCGTAGTGTACATCAAAAGTTTCAATATTTGTCACCACAAGAAACATCAAGTGAGACTACTAGTGATCGTTAATATTTTTCAGTCGATTAAAACGCGAACCCTTAAACGGCTCATATATCTACGAATCGAGCAGAATAATATCGAATGCACGATTTTTGCTAGAAAAAGACAGGTACGACAGGAAATGGAGGAAAGGAAAAAGAAGAAATTAAAGGTGGAACGATCGTGAATGGAAAAATATCGAACGCGCGATATTTGCCGAAGAAACAGAAGAAAGGGGGAAGAACGAAGAGAAGAGATTAAAAGTGGAACGAGTCAACGGCAAATTCGTAAAATGATAAATTCACGAGAAAAGGGGAAAGAAATAGTTGAGAGGGCGAAGTAGCAGCCGGGAAGTGGGCAGAAAACCGGAAGAAAAATGCGGTCGCGTTCGAGAGACGTGAGGGTCTGACGACTAGGCGAATATATTTGTCATGTTCCACCGGATCCAGATGCCTGTAGAAAATTAATCAAAGGATATGCGACTTTAGGCAAAGAAAGAAAGGAATACCGTACATCTCTGACCGATCGAGGGAAGCTTGGGAGGCGGAAAGGGGGGGAGGTTAGGAGGCAGATTTTTCAGCGAGCACCGCGAGGAGAGATAAGGAAACGTTTCCATTCACGAGAAAAATTGCACAAACGTTCCATGGAAAAACGGATTCTGAATGCAGCGCCGCTTCAATGCCGATCATTGTATCGTCTAAAGAGATTCGTTCGTTGTGTCTGATGTCTTTTGAAACGCATTGCCTCACAACGGAATGTTGTTTCATGGACTTGTGGAGGAACGAGAGACAGTCAGGGAAGAATTTTCAAATGTACTTCAAGAACGATTTCTTCCGTGTTGATTTCGTATCGTTTAATAAAACACCCTCCCTCCTCTCTTCTCGATCTCGCACCACATCTTAACCCATTAACTGTCAAATTTTTTTTTTGAAATTTTTGGCCGGATAAGTTATATATACATATGTGCACAAAAGGTTGTTTAACAGTATAATTATATTCAAATTATGTTTTGTTTTGAAAATATTTGATATTTTTGAAAAAGTCCCAAATGGGGATTGTGGCAGGTTGCATGAAAGAAAACTAATAAGAAACTATTTTTCTTATTATATGCGTTATCTTATACATACAAAAATAGCTATTATTTATGCCATTTTTCCATACAGTCCACATGTAACCCGACGTTACATTTACCACATTGTTTTGCACACTGCGCATTTTCTTTGTTTTCCTTCAAGAGTTCTTTCTAAGTAATGCCCTATTGGGTCCGTCCTTACGCTTTCGGGAACACGTTTTGAAGCTTGCTTTTGTAGAGAAGGTCTACCACGATTTTTAGGATTAGAAGGAGACGCTCGCTGCAAATATGCTCGGGCGATATTTCGTCGAAATTCCAATAATGGCATGACTTTGTTAGCATGGCAATACAGTACGTAGGCGTTTACAACTGTTGTGTCGATTATGCTTGTAAAAATAGGAAAATACCACTTTTTTCCACGAATTTTTATCCTGTATTTGTTAACATTCCAGTCCAGTTTGTCAATACCTCCCATAAACTTATTATAGTTACTTATGCAATAGGGTTGATCTATTTTGATTTGTTTTTTCTCAGACTTGGACCATCTAGTTACATTGTTTAACGGTTGTATACCTTGATGATTTGACAAGACTTTCACACATTTGTTGTCTTTCCACACTACACAAAATATTTCATTATTCATATCAAATCTGTAAACTAAACTGCCGCGAAGTTCGTTCTTGAATTCATAGTCCGATTTTATAGGACACTTGTTTAGACGATTTGATCGAACTGTTCCTGTAGCTAATATGTTTTTCTCCTTTAACGTTTTCATTAGTTGAAAACTAGTAAAAAAGTTATCAAAGTAAAATACATGATTTGAAGGATTTTCGAGAAGCTCTGTGTTCTTCATTATAACAGATTCACCCAGACCTTTTAATTCGCAGTCTTCATTTCTTTTCCCTGTATACAACTCAGTGTGATAACAGTATCCCGTTTCTGCACAGCACATTGTCCATTGTTTGAATCCAAATCGAATTGGCTTTCCCCCAATGAACTGCTTGAAATAACGATGACCGTAGTACCGAACCATTTGCTCGTCAATACTTATATTTTTTGAAAAAACACCAAATTTGAGATATCGTTGATTCATTAACTTTATTAGTGGACTCATTTTGAAATCCGGATCTGCTGTCTTATTAGTGACGAGCTCGGAATTATCATTGAAATGAAGATTTCTTTTTATTTCCAAATATCTATTTCTAGGAAAACATTTTCTTACAACTTCAATGCATAAGTCTTCATCTTCACACCAATACATTTGCTCCTGTGCTAATGAATGGTATCCAGTAAGCAATAAAAATCCTATAAATTTTCTCAAACAGTCTGTTGAAAAAGTAAAACTATGTCTGTTATTTTGAGCGGCGTATGTGACACTTTGTCTGACTATATAAGTCATTATTTCTTCATCAAATACAGTTTCAAAAACCTCAACAGGTGCCTTTACTTCTAATGACTGCTTTATTAGTGATCGAACATTCTCAATGTCATTATTATTTCCAAGTATTTTTACAAAGTCGTGTGAAGGAATGTGGTTATTATTATTAAATAACGAGGCGTGAATAGGGTTGCGCTAAGTACCCACACGGTATTAGCAAGATCTTTATTGGAAGTTGACTTTCGGCGTTGGAGGTCCGTGCCTGACTGGCCTCCTGTCGCCTCGCTTTTTCTTACTAACTTTTGGCTATGTGTTAATCGTACCTGATTGGCTAACCCGTCGCATCGGTGTTAACCAATCAGGTAATTTCTTTCCAAGTCGCTGCGTGTCCCTTGCGCCCTTGGCGCGCTTTTTCGGGGACCGCAGTGCGACTTGGCGGGGCAGGTTTTTCCCGTGACGTCACTTGGCGACGCAGCTGAGTTTCCTCCAGGTCAAGTCCTCGTGCCCTGCCGGTCCGGGCCTCTGGGCCTCGTACGTCGGACCTTTCGGAAACCCTTGGTTTATGATGCGGCAATTTGCTATTGAGGCCGTCGGAGAAAGTTTCTACGCGGACATGCATTGTCGAATTTCTAGAAATTAAATAAGCTAAAAACGGTTTCCTCAAAAATAGCTTTTTCAAACGCGCACGTCATAAACCGTGCTGGTAGTCTGCTCGTCAAATGTTCTCCGCTGTAGCTGGTCGCAACACGTGTCTTACTTTTTGCCAATCTGAATTTGTTTCTCGACTCTTCCTATTAGTTTTGGTTTTTGTACAGTTCTAGTTATATTGTTGTTATTTGGGTCTGTGCTTGTAGAAGCTATATTCAGAGCACTCGAATGAACTTCTAGTCTGCCGGGAACATCTTTGGGACAGCTATCTTCTAATGTATTCTCATCAGTGTCTTCGATATCCGAAACAATATCGACCTTATCAGGAGGAAGTTCAACAATATCAACAGTAGCACCATCATCGTCACTTTCAAAGAAATTAGGGTCATTTACAGCGTCTTCTAATTCAGCAAGCGTGAAAAACTTCCTAGTACCCATCTCTCATCGAATAAAAATAATCCCTATAAGAGAGAAAAAAATACTTGATATCAGCCACAATCCCCAAATGGGTATCGTTATAAAATGATCAATAAAATCATTTCAATAAAAAACAAAAGACTGAGTGAGTAACAAATCGTTACTATAACCTCTAAATTACATATTTCTTCAACATATGCTTCAAATATGACAATTCTGTTCCGTTCAACTTACACACGAATTTCAAATTTGTTCGCTTGTATAGAAACGAAGCACAGAATACACACTTTCTGCTACATACAATATTGACTGATATATACAGGGTGTCCCGTAACTCGTCGAACACCCGGAAATGGGGGGTTGCTGAGGTGACTCTGAACAACTTTTTCCTTTACCAAAATGTTGTTTGAAGCTTCATTTTTGAATTATTAACGAAAAACACTGGCCAATCAGAGCGCGTGTAGAGCCCGCGCTCAGGGACGGAGAACAGAGGCTCATTCGCGCGCGATTCCGACTAATTGCAATTTTTTCGAAAATTTATACAATATAGCGCTTATAAAAATAGCGGTGCAAAGTCAAAATTTTTTGACAGCGATCGATAACCGAGAAATCACGCGTACGCATTTGTTCACGATCGCGCGCAGATGAGAGTCAGCGAGCCGTCCCTGGGCGCGGGCTCTACTCGCGCTCTGATTGGCCAGTGTTTTTCGTTAATAATTCAAAAATGAAGCTTCAAACAACATTTTGGTAAAGGAAAAAGTTGTTCAGAGTCACCTCAGGAACCCTCCATTTCCGGGTGGTCCCAGCGTTACGGGACACCCTGTATATTAGAATAAGTATGGATTACAATATTAACCGTTTGAGTACCAGAGGTTTTTAAAAAAAACACGGTCTAAAAAAGCCGAACAGCGCAATAGCGCTTTCTGAATGGAAAAGGTCCAAGCGGCTCGATAGCTCTCCTTTTATTCTGTGTCGAAAAATGCTAAGCAGCGCGATAGCGCTTCTTTTATAATAGGTAACAACGAAATACAAAAAATATTACTTGGATTACTTATATGCAAAAGAAGTAGCGAAGCGACGTATGTACATGCGTCTGAAAAGTTGAGCGCGTTTCGTCAGATTGTGAGTGCGCCGTCAGTTGTCCGTATCGTTCAAATACGCTGGGTTTTCTCGACATGAAATCTGAAGAGCGCGAAAGCGGCGCGTGGGACTCAAACGGTTAAGAACACTGAGAGTCGAACCACACACGTGGTGGAGGTTCCATGTCTAGAATAACAACAAAAAAAAAGGATCGGTAACAATTGCCGATCAGCGCAGGTAGCTTTCGCGCATGCGCAGAGCAACTCTTCATTTACATATTTCCAGATAGATCGGACTGTATATTGGACTACGATCCAAATACAGTTAAAAAATTATAGAATATTAAATTTTCGATAGAATCTCAAAAAATGATACAAAAGATCGGATTGCAATATTCGACCACAAGAGCAGAACTCTTCAGTTAAATTCTTCGTACTTTCAACTTTTTTCTCTTACTTTATTTCAAAATTACTTCGTCCGATCGAGGTTTCCTTCGTGATAAATGCTGTGAACCACGAATAGGCTACGTAACACGGAACATGTCAATTATTTTCCTGTTGGGTCTCCTAACGAAAATGTGGCCGGTTGAAACGGAGACCGATTAAAGCGTGACCGGACAAGAGGGAGTCTACTATTTTGAATATATTACAGAGGATAACTTTCGAAGGAGTTCGTGAAGCAAGCGTGATTTTAAGATGTTTTCACGAAAGCATTTTAATTAAATACGGTAATAATACGGTGAAGGTCGAGGAAAAATTTTAACGAAATTTACATAGACGAACATAACGTTACGTTATTTAAGATGACTGTTATTATAAAATGGAACTTATACGAGTAAGAAGCAATGGTGCGTTTCTCTTTCAAGAATTCCTTAAGAGCGAGGAATATTATCCTTGCGAGGAATATTATGCTTTGTTTCCAAACACTTGTTCTACAATATTAGGTCATCCCGTAACTCCAAAGCAGAAAATATTTTAACGAAAATCCAAGGAAATTCTATAGCGACGACATATTGGACTTACAGAAAAAAAAAATGTGCAATGAGAAGGCGCTTACATTTTTTAAAAAAACTTAAAGGTTCGTTGGAAGTATTGATCTGAATTATGAAGTTCGATACGAACTTATGGGACGACCTAATACAGTTTCAATAAGATTTACCCCGTGAATTTGTGTATTTATTTCTCCTTACCCGTAGCAACGAGCCATTCTTCATTTTATTGAAAATTATGAGAGATAATATTCACGGAATTCCCTTAGTACCGTATACAGGATTTCATTTCACAAATAGATGAAGCCAACACGTTCAAGCGAACGTTATTTCCTCTCTATTGGAAATCATGTATGCGGTACTAATTGTGTGTACCATTATGCTGTTTTCTCCTTCATACCAAATACAATTTTCTATAATGGACATGTATTGTGCAACAATGCTTATGCAACTCGGTGAATACGTGTATTTGCCTTGCTTCAGGATAGATATTTCTATTTGAGAAGATAACACGCTTATTACCGAATTTTCGTAATACTACAACGAAGATAATAAGAATATCCTTTTAGTAGATTACAGAAGAATTTCCGAAGAAAGTTTTAACGAAAGTTTGAGGAATTATGTATGGAAATAAATGTCTTCATTGTTAAAGCCTAAACCCAGCGTTTAGCGAGTCCTTGCTGCAATCTATGAAAAATTCAATGTTTATTATTTTTAAGGTTTTCTTATGAAAATTGGTCTAAATATGTCTTCAATCAAATTCGATATCACTATCAGTGCCTTTTGGAAGTTGGCTGTTGAAGGAGAAAATACATAGAGAGAGGACAGATGGAAAAGAAAAGGGAAAGAATGTTACGTTTCATCGTCCTGATTCTTATAGTGGACTCGTAAAGCTATGCACCTAGGATACCTGTGCCTTAGACGCGGGGATAGGTAGAATTCGGGTTAGAAGTTGTGCACATATACAGGGTGTCCCAGGTAACTTAAAATGGTTAGAGATGGAAAACAATGTCATAAGACAAAATTAAATGGTGTTAAGTGGTGCATATTTTGAAAGTAAGTCTATGCATTTTTGTGTATTGGTGCATCAGAAAAGTGCGATTGCACTTGTTTGTTTTAATGAAACCCATATTGTTGGATACGCTAATCGACGCAGTTTTCCACTCTCTGCAAGAAAATACCAAGATACTGCCTTAAAACTATTAGTCCAAAAGTTATTGCAATTTGAAATTTCCTTAATTACATTTCTGTCTCTCAGCATATTTTTGCTGATGTATTGCTGTGTACTTCTCTGTAATGCGTTAAAGTGTTTATAAATACGAATTCACTGCTAATGTCAACCAGTGTAAGATACCTTGTTATCAGTAAAGTTTCATTCAGTAGTACAAAATCGTGGCATTTGCAAATAATGAAAAAAAAATGGTATGGCCATCGCGATTACTGGGCCTAACACCGTGATTTCTTTTTATGGGGATATTTAAGTGCTCGAGACATCCAACAACGTATTTTAATTGCGGAAAGAGGCATAACTAGTGTATTAAGCAACATAAATAAAAGAACGAAAAAGTGTTTAGAGTGCAACGAAGGACCATTTGTGCATTTGTTATAACGTCTACTAATACACTGAAATAACGTAGCCAATTTCAAACTACAATGACTTTTGAACTAATAGTCTTAAGGCATAAGTACCTCAGTATTTTTTGTAGAGAGTGAAAAACTGTATCGATTAGTGCATAACAAGTGCAGTTGCACTTTTCTGGTGCACCGATGCACAAAAGTGTATGAGTATATTTGACCCCATTTAATTTTGCCCCATGTAGTATCTTTCTATCTCTAACTATTTTAGAGATGTAAATTGTCCCAATTGTCTCAAAACTTTGTCCCAAAATAATCAATAGTAAAATTATGTAATAGCATTCACATATATTGTACGTGTACGTAATGAATTTTCAAAATCTTTTTTCTCGATAACGAAGCTTCACATGCAAACAACTGGATTCTGCAATATTGACTTATTTTTTCATAAGGAAGGAATCACTTTTTGACTTGCAAATTCTATCATTTACAGTAGATATACATACACTACCGGTCAAAAAGTTTGGAATCACCTCCCACTCTTCATCAATATTAAATCTGCTGCTAATTTTTTTTAGATTTGAAGTTTATCTCAATTTATTTCATATCAATTGATTCGAATGATAAAAAATTCTCAAAGTCGCTGACTCTTTTCTGGAAATTTTTGTGTAAATTGCAATGCTCGGTGATTCCAAACTTTTGGCCGGTATTGTGAGTGAAAAGGATACAGTGTATTTTTGCAAGAAACGAATTACGATGCTCCGCTTAAGAAGCCACTGCTTTATGCAGCGTTCAACTATGGATTGTTGAAGACTATTGAAATTTCACAGTACTTACTAATTTCAATTGTTTATAAAAATGTGCATATTTCATAAAGATCACCAAGTTGTCAGCTACAAGATCAAAATAGTACGATTCATGCTTGAACTGAGTATGTTTATTGCTAACCTTGTGAAAAATTAACGTGTTCAATTATTATTATTAAACGCAATATTAATTGTACAAATAAAAAATTACTATTTGTTCTATAAGCTGTTTGTCAAGGTCAAAGTGAGATTATGAAAATGATGTGAAATGTCCTGAAGAAGGTAATCTAAAATATTTATCGGCACATTTCTTTCTTCGTGCCTTGAAGATGTAAAAGTGAAGAATATTAACGGTGAAACGTATTTGATTCAGACCTGTGCGAATTCCTTCGCGCACTCTTTACCCTTTCAGCTTAGAAAATTTAGCGGGCAAGTGGGCAAAGAATCGTAGCAGAATAGGACATAGATAAAGTGAGTTTTATTGGCATTTACTTGTGCGAAGTATGCAACATAAGGTCCTCGGCCTTTGACCTCTGCAAGTTCGTCATGGAAAATCCGTCATGGCGCCCCCT